TACCCCCAAATATATTTCCTTACCATACCTTAAAATTGTCCTGCAAAGTCTCTTGTGGGAAAACAATCCACATTCTATAGAGAATCCCCTTTCCCCTTGTTTTCCTTCCTTCCTTCCTTCCCAGGAGATAATCAACTAAGAGCCAGACATCCTTTTAGGTCTGATAAGCAACATTTTACAACCTGCTCTCTCTCTCTGACGTCTGACAGATTCTTCTGCATAAGAAAACTTGGTCTCCACAATCCTTTACCTTAACCTGAGTATTTCTTTCCATTAATCCCAGGTCTTCAGATAAACTCAACCAACTGTCAACCAGAAAATGTTTAAATTTACCTATATCCTGGAAGTCCCCACTTTTGAGTTGTCCCACCTTTCTGAACCAAGCCAATGCATTTCTTAAATGTATTGGATTGATGTCTCATGCCTCTGTAAAATACATAAAACCAAGCTGTACCCCAACCACCCTGGGCACATGTTCTCAGGACCTCCTGAGAGCTGTGTCACGGGCCATGGTTATTCATATTTGGCTCAGAATAAATCTCTTCAAATATTTTACAGAGTTCGACTCTTTTTGTCAACACCCACATTTTCTTAAAAATCACACAAGAAAAAGTGGGGCTCTTAACTATTATCCACAAAAAAAACTGCAGGACAGGGGGGTGGAGAAGCAGGAAAAGAAAACTAATTAAAAACTAAATGGGGAAAAATTAGCTTGAAAAGGGCTTGCTGAACTGCCGACAGCGTGGAGTGCTGAGGTGAAAAACAAATGCAAAAGATTTGGCAGAATCCAAAAAGAACACCATCAGAATAAGCAATGAGGCCACAGCTAACTCCCTGCTACAAATCAGAGTGAGAAGCAGTCAGTAACACATGTGAAGATGAAAAAGAAGTTCCCTGGACAAGAGCAAGCACACAGACTGAAGCATAGGAAGGAGGAGGGTGAGGAGGGGAGAAGGCCAATTCCTGCTACAGAAAGCAAAAAACAGCAGCAGCGTGCACACACATACATATATGCACTAAGGACAGAAAATCTAACCCAGTGTAATCTGAGGCCCTCTTAAGTGAAAAAGAGAGGAGACTAAATGGCGATGGGGCACAATGGGCTGGCTAAACCATCACAAATCAGCTCTTAATTACAGACTGAAGCCTTCTTGGTGTGTGGAGCAGATTTCCTGGCACTGGCAGGAGACACCCCCCCACCAACCCCAACAACTATTATTGGGCCATCCTGCTCCTTTCCATTAGTGCAGGAAACAAGGTAGAGACATCATCTTATGCGCCTTTTATCTAAGCCATTTATGGCAGACAGGTCATTTCACTTGGTTGGGGTGAGGGATACATGGGAAAGAAAAATGGAATGAATGTGCCCAAGGACATTACTCTGAAACTAGAACTGCATTTGGAAATGCAGTCTCCTGAAATGAGAGGCTGGGGAAGAACTAGTTTTCCATCGAAGAGCATAAAGCTGTGCAACACTATAACGCTGTAATTTCATGCAGAATATAAAATCCTACTTACCATTCTGAGCCTCCTCAACTACTCTGCCAGTCCTCTTTCCCTGAACAGGGGTACCTGTGCCATGCATTTGCTGCCTTCACAAGATAACGACCTTGCAACAGCCCAGGTACTGTGGCATTACTTAATAATGCTTATATTAGTGTTTACACTGTGCCAAGCTCCATTTAAATTCCTTTATTCCTATGAATTCAGTTGTTCCTCTCAATAACTCAACCAAGTAAGGGGGTGGTACCATCTCCACTGTACAGAGGAAACAAGTCAAGAAAGTAACTCTCTTGCCCAAGGGACAGGAGGCAGGAACAAGATTTGAAACCAATACTCCTAACAACTTCACCAGAAGTTCCAAAATTCAAACACTCCCACTTTACTGTGTTTTAGTGATTCCGTAATTTTTTCAGGATCTCCTGAAAGAACTCATAAAAGCTCCACTTACTAAGTAGTTAGGTCCCAACAACTTAGTAGTGATGGTTAAGTGGTGCCTGACAGATGTCTCTCTGTGTTTCCTCAAAGTTTTAAAATATCCCATGCCAGCCTTGTGACTTTGCTGTGGCACTCCAGGGCGCCTCAGGACACAGTTTGGAATTCACAGAACTATATTATCCTGGCTTCCTCATTCTGGTGAGGAAAAAGCATTAGGGTGCAATAATTGAACTGTCTGTTCGTTAAAGTAGATGAGTCACCGGCACGGGAAAGAGAAGAATCCTGTTAACTTCCTTCTTAGCCATCAAAAACATCTGAGCCCCTTAGCTCTCACAGGAGGCTTTTCCATCTGGCCCAGGTAGGCTTTTCCAGCCTTGTCTCCTGCCACTCCCACCCCTACAGCAAATTGTGCACTGCACAAGCAGCTACACAGGCCTTGCTACCCACCTTGGACACTTCTGTACCTGCCACATGTGCTCTCTTCTTGCCTTCTGGCTCAGCCATTTCCTGCTCCTGGGTGACTGAGCTCCTCCTCTACAAAGCCGCTCTACCCACACAGGTGGCTCGCTGCTCCTTCCTCGGGGTTCCCAGCCCACTCTACCACACTCACACCATCCTGGGATTCCCCAAGTTCTCTAGTTACTGGCCACTGACATGTCTATCTCCCCCAGCCCTTTGCTTACCAACTTTTGCAAAGCAGGACTGTTATCTTACTCATCTCCATGGCTTTCCCAGAGACTATGGACAGTAAACAATACACAGCCCTTTAATAAGTTTTAATTAGTAAAGAATGGAACAACAGAACGAAGCACTGCTTAAGGAACCAAGTGAAGTATAATAGAATCAATGAATAAAAGAAAGGATGTGGCAGGTTAATCGAATGAATGGTCCCAATTAAGAGTCTCCCTGTATCCCATTCCCCTTGCAATAAGACTCAACAGCAACTACCATCAACAAGTCTATATCCTTACCCTTTGAATCTGGGCTAGTCTTGCGTCTTGCTCTGGCTGACAAAATGCAGAAGTCACAGTACACCAGGTCCCAACCTGGGTCTCCAAAGGTACTGCACAATTCTACTTCCTTCTTAGAACCAAGCAGATGGCCTGGGCTAGCCTGCCACAGGACGGCGGACCATGCGGAAGGGAGCCCCACGAAAGCCATCCTAGACCAGATCCAGCCAGCCTATCCCTCAAATACATGAGAAAGCCCAGCTGAGACCAGCAGCCTGACCCCCCAACCCACCCCCCACATCACTAGTGAACCCGGCTAAGACCAAAAGAACCACCCAACTCACCCATAGACTAGTGAACACCAATGAAGGTTTACTGTTTTAAGCCATTAAGTTTTGGGACAGGGTGTCATGTGGTAACAGTTAACTGATACGTTGAATTAATGAACAGTCTAATTTATGACAGTGAAGTTCCTAGAAGGCTGGAGCTATGAGTCTTTGTTCTGTGTCACACTGAGAACCAGTTCTTAAACATAGTGTTGCAACAAGTCGAGATACATCCTGATCTGCTGTGGGGGCATTTGCACAAAGTATTTCTGAATTTTGCAAGTGATTAAGTTAGTGTGGATTCATCATCACCCTCATCCATACCACTGTGACTCACTTGTGCATTTGGATAAGCTTTCTTGAAAAGGAAAGTGGAAAAGTAGGACCAAGAACCTGCTTCTCACTTCCACTGACACCTTCTGCCAGCCAGTAATAGTAACAGCAGTGTTTATTGATCAACTGTCTTACTCTCCCTGTATGTACATCATCTGTCACATGAACCAGCTCTCAAAGAATCTCAATTTTTGGTTAGGATGTCAAATCCTTTAGGGAAAGGGCAAGGCATAAGAACATCTTTAAATACCTAGCACTGTACTCACATCTAGCATACAAGAGACAAGGTCTTCTGCCCTCAGGGACTCATCTGGTGGAACTAAATGGTCCTTTTCTCTCAGAAGAGGACCAAATAAGAGCCCAGTCTTATTTTTTCCGACTGTAAGTCAGAAATCCACAGCAGGTGGTAAGCCCCAGGGCTTGTCTTCTAAAATGAAAAAGCCTAGGTAACAAAATCAACCTTATTTACTGCCATCTATTTGGGGAATCACCCAAAGTCAACCATACTTCTTAAATGAAGGACTTTAATGAACGTTCTTACTGAGGTTAATTGCTACATTGGCAGCCGATGCAGTGTCTTTCCATGATGTATTTCCTCTTGACAGTGGCTTTCAAGTTCAGTTCTCAGCTACCCACACCTACTTTCTCAGGTAACTCTAGCAGATTAAGCCCCGTGAGCTTCAGTTTCACATACATACAGTGAAAACTCTAAGATTGAATGAGATAATTTAACATGAAAGCCCAAAGGTTTGGCACAGCCCAGACCCTTGTAAGTGCTCAAAAAAGATGTATTTCCTTCCTTTCAGCTACGAAAACACATTTGGTACATTTTACTCACACACACACACACGCACACTCGCACACACAAACAAAACCTCTCTCTCCCCCTCAGACCCCACTCATCCCCTTCTGGCTCAAGTCACATTTGCAATACCAGCAATAGCCTAAGTTATGAAAATCATTCTCAAAAACCACATTTCATTCAACAAACTTTTACCCAACACCATGCTAGGTATGGTCAACGTGGGGCCCCTAAGGATCCTGCTAGCCTCCCGGGATTATTCTCTTCCACGAAGGGATACCAACAACCTCCATCTACAATCCACAGAGATAGTTTATGAGAAACCAGCCACTGCAGCCCTAGGAAACAACATCCCATTATCTTACTAAAGACGGTCTTCTGCCAAACGCATCATGGCTTTATTTTCTGACAAAAGGGTTTAAGCTAAGCAAGATTCCTGTCATGTGCAGGCTACAGCGCCAATCTATTCCTATGGCTCTCAACTGTCAAGCACAGCAATGGTCACATCTCCCCAGCCCCCTCAGGATCCCACTCCCACCTCCTTCATTCACCGGGCACCTGAGAAGCCACAAGGATCACCCTTAGATGGAGAGCAGAAATGGCAAAAGTAGCAGCATAAAAAATCATACTAAATTCATCTTTATTAATCACCTTCCTATGTCCAGTGTGAACTGTCTCAGGAACACAGCTCGAGGATGAATCACATTTCGCCATCACACAGGGCGACCTGGGTCTCTTTAGCATGCTTCCTGTGCCAAGCTTTCATTTTCCTAGTCAAGCTTTCATTTTCCTTCAAGATTTTCACAGTAAATTCTGTAGATCCTGAAATTGCCTTGACAAAAAGAAAAACCTGGACTGCATGGTAAGGAAGAAACACAATGGCTGTGCCTTCAGATGTCAAGTGGTTTTAAACTACTTCACCTTTTGTCGTCTTCTTCATTCTCTATCCTGGGAGTGTACTGGATCGTGACATGGGAATTTCCCTCTCAAAACCTGAAAATCAAGTTAGGTCTCATAGGACCACAACATGAACAAGCTTCAGACTTAGCCATCTTTCACCCATTGACTGCCCTGTATAGAACTATAAATGTCCTGGTTTAGTACTAATAAATTATGCTAGTTCAAATTAAGCTTGCCTCATTTGGACTTGGTTCCTTATTTCTGCTGATCTCACTGCAACAAACCAAACATATGGTGAGAGCAGAATATAATTCAGTACAAGACACCGACTTTACCAGCTTCTTACAGAACCGCTGAGAGATGATGGAATCTATTGGAACACATCAGCCTTTCTGAAAAGTTAATAATAATGCCTTTCTAAGGACACCATCTAAAAACAGTGGAGATTAGAGTCCATTAAAAAAATCAAGCAGATAACCAAGTCTTTCTGAATCAAAAATAAAGGATGGGATTAAAACCACAACCTAATTCCACTACACATTCACCAGAATGGCTAAGGTGAAAAAGACAAATACCAACCATGGTAAGGATGTGAGGGAGGGAAGCTCTCATGCACTGCTGGTACAATTATATATTGATTGATACAACCACTTATGAAAACTGGCAGTATCTCATATTGTTAAACATGTGTACCCCCATGATCCCAAAATCCCACTTCTAAGTATATACTTGCTATGGTTTGGATATGGATTTACTGGCCAAAACTTATACAGAAGTTTAGCTGACTTCAGTTGGGATGTGTTTGGGTCATGGAGCTGGATCCCTCATGAATAGAATTAATGCAGTATCAAGAGAGTGACTGAGTTCTACAATCTCTTGAGAATGGATAAGCTTCCTTGAGAGCGGGTTGTTAATAAAGCCAAATGTTCTCATGTTTGGTCCCTCCCCACACATGCCTGTTCTTCTTCCACTTTTCCACCACATCTTCGTGCAGCATAAGGCCCTCACCAGAAGCCGAGCAGATGTAGCCATCCAGTCTTGAACTTCCCAGCCTCCAGAATTGTGAGCTAAAAAAACCAAACAAACCTCTTTTCTTTATAAGCTATCCAGTCCCAGGTGTTGTATTACAGCAACACCTAACAGCCTAAGACAATAGTCAACTGTAATATGTACCTCTGTTCACCATTCAATGGCAATGTGTGTATCATACACTAGAATGTTTCCAGAAGCACTAATCCTAGTAGCCGAAAACTGGAAATTATCTAAATGCCCATCTACGGTAAAATGGGTGGATCAATAAATTTTGGTATATGCACACAATGGAATACTATACAGCAACGAGAATGATTACATGCAACAATATACATGAATTTCACAAACAGTACTGAGCAAAAGAAAGCAAACATAAAATAGTTTACATTTTATGAGTTCATTTATACAGAGTGCAAAACTAGTCAGGATTGAGGCGTGGGGACTGTAGAGGTAGTGGCTGGAAGAGAGAACATGAGGGGGCTTTCGATGGGCTAAGAATGCTCTGTTTATATGGTGGTTAGGTGGGTGTGCATTTGAAATTCATCAAGCTCCACATGTGTGAAGTGTATTTTTCTGCATATAATATATATCAAAAGTTAAAACTAAAATCAAGGGTACTGGTTTACGAAATTACTAAGTTACCTCAATGACTTAAAATGTTGGTTGGCTGTTAGGTTGTGACATAAGAAATACTTGTTCCTCCCCACCCCACCCCCTGTATTCCTAATACAGAGCTCCCTAAGACTCTCATAATTTCCTAAGTGATAGAATGAGAAGAGTATCTTTTGTTAGAATATTTGGTCTTATTCCCTAGTTCCCTTCAAAAGAGCTTCCAAGACCCTTGAAAGCTCTATAGCTAGCTTGTCCAACAATGGCCCGAGGGCTGCATGCAGCCCAGGACAGTTTTGAACGATGTGGCCCAAAACAAATTCATAAACTTTCTTAAAACATAGATTGGTTTTGCTTTTTTTTTTTTTTTTTTTTTTTTTTTTTTTTTTAGCTCATCAACGATCGTTAGTGTATTTTATGTGTGGCCCAAGACAATTCTTCTTCCAATGTGGCCCAGGGAAACCAAAAGATTGAACACTCCTGCTCTAAACTGAGAAGTGTCTTTTTGTATGCTAATAACTGGTGGCTGAGGTCCCTAAATAGCTTCGGGTTGGGACTGGCTACCACAAAGACCACTGTATGACTAGAGGATTGGAACTTTCAGTCCCACCCCCAAAATCTCTGGGGAGGGAAGGGTGGACATTGATTTAATCAATCGTCCCTACATCATGAGGCCTCCATAAAGCCCCACATGACAGGGTTCAGGGAACTTCCAGGTTGCTGAACACAACCATGTGCCAAGAAGGTGGCATACCCCAACTCCACAAGAACAGAGGCTCCTGTGTTTAGGACCCTTCTGAACATCATCAAATGTACTTCTTCACCTGAACATTTGTATCCTTAGTAATACCCTTTACAACAAACCAGCAAATATAAGTAAATGTTTCTGAGTTTTATGAGCCATTAGAGCAAATTATCAAATTAAAGAGGGGGTTGTAGGAACCCCCCAATGTACAGCCAACTGGTCAGAAGTACAGGTAACAACATGGGACTTGTGACTGGTATCTGAAGTGGGGACAGTTTTGTGGGACTGAGCCCTAAACTTGTAGGGTATGCAATAACCCCTGGTAGTGTCCAAAATGAATTAAAGGACACCCAGTTATTACCTGGAGAGTTGGATAATCCATTGGTGTGAGGGGAAAACACACCCACATTTGGTGTCACAAGTATTTTGAGAAACAGAATTTTTGATACTCACCCTCTTCATTTTAGAACATGAGATTTAAAAGGGGGTGAGTAGGACTCCCAAGTCTCCCTCACCTGGATGTGTTTAATACGTTTGCAAAGCCAGTCCAATATCTCATTGAACACAACTTCATTTCACCACCTGGGCCACCTATTTATCAACCTGCATATTCAGCCCAATAGTCCAATTTGTTACCAGCCTGTCATCTGGCTGCCTTTCTTTCCTCTAAGAAAATGAACTGAGGGGTATGCAAAGTGATGCTTTTACCCAAGTCAGCAGCAACGACTCCCTGAAAATAAAATACAAATATCCAAAAGGCCTATGCAGACCTGACTCTTCTAAAGAGCAAAACAGTATCTCAATGTCAAGGAGAAGATGACACAAACATTTTCCCACATGCATCAACTTCAGCAAATCAGCATTCTATGCCCACTGAAGCTCGGCATTCAAGCTGGCTCACTTACGCCATCACTCAGGAGACACGTAAGTCTCAAGGTTTTAATGATATCTTCCCTCTCTCTGGAAGGTAATAGTTGGATACACTGGAACTGAATAATAGAGGAATATCTCTGAAGAAGTGCAAGAAAACTATGAAGAGGGAAACAGACCGAAAGCATGGGGAAATCCAACCTCTTCCCACCATTTTCCATGGAAAACTCGATCCTTGATTTTTCATGGATTTGGAGCTGTCCTAAATTTCCAGAGGGCTCTGATTTAACACCCTCCCAAGGCTGGGCAAGAGGCAGCCCAAAGATCAAGTTCATCATTTTAAGGGGTTTTATGTTGTTATGTTAAAAATAAGCCAATTCTATACACAATCCCTCTGCCCACCCACCTCCTCATCCCTAATACACAAAAACAAAAGAAGACGACAAGTGACTGCAAGTGACACAGGGGAAGCGAGGTGTGGGTCTTCCCATGCACAAGGCCTCCTTCATGCTGATGTAACAGAACACTAGGAAACCCTGCTCCCAGGACACTAGGGAAAAACAGACACCGACCACAACACTGGGGCGTTTCTTTATTGATTCCCTTGGTTATTTAACTTATTTTCCCCAGAGGCTGGGAGTAAGATAACGTTTTCCCAAAACAAAGAATATGGTATAAAAACAAAATTTTTTAGAAATCCAGCCAAGAAAGGCCACATAGGTGGGTAAGGTAATGTTTTATTAAATTTTTACATTCCCTAGATATTAAGTTTCAGAACTTGTCTAGGCTCTGCTCCCTTAGGCATTTCATATATAAGTAATACAAGTTCTTCCTTAGCTTTTATCCGCAAATGGGATAAAGACCATGTTTCTGGTATACATATGCATCTATGTTATTTATAACAACTATAGTAAATAAATGCATGTTTTTGCCTGCTGGGAAAAAAAGGCATATCCTATCCTCATTTCTCACATATTCTACTTAAAATGTTCCTAAGTAGTTTACCAGCTACTCTTTTACCTGCTGAAACTAACCAAATGCTGGCTGATGGTCAAAAACTATTTCCCTTGGGTACCAAGCTTCCTAAACAGTCAGGACGGTCTAATATAGGTTTTTTCTGAGTGTGGTACATTTACACTGTAGCATACATACTAATAGTTAAGTATTTGTTGTAACATGCATAAGCACATCAAATTCATAAGCTGCTATATGCTGTCAATTAGACTGAGACCAAATTAAAATAAGTAAGTTGATTCAGGATAAACTGAAGAAAATATGTTAAGTAACTAGTATAGGTGGTAAAGTGAATATGGTGGAAATTAAGTCTGAAGTTTCGAAAATACTAGTCTGCTAAAAACAAACAAACAAAACAAAAAGTTCAACCAAGAGTCAGAAAGCTCCGGTTCTATGTGCTGTCTTGATGTGTCCTTGGGGATCCTTCACTTATCATCCCTAGGCAGGCCTCACTACAACGACAGCAACAAAGCTGACAGGGTTAGGACAGTGTGACAAATGTGAAAACTTTTAGAAGTAGAACACAAAGTCTTTTCACCTTCCAATCAGGTGTGACCACTGGCCAGCTGAGAAGCAAGAACCTTTTGAGTTATGACACACAAGCCAACAAGGCATTAGAGTCAATGCTAATCCCTCTCCTTAAAACCTCCCTGAGCTGTTGAAAGTCATCTTGCCAAGCCTCAGGGCAAAGACCTCCTGAGGTTGGCTTGGTGGCAGGCAGGGGGCGGTAGATGGCAAGAGCACAAATGATACATATCACTGCAACCTGGTGTCTGATCTCAATAACACCTGTGCACAAGACTCCCTGTAAGGCAGGGCTTTCCAAGGGCAGGATTTGCCACTAAGCTCTGAAAATCTCTTCTGAGTCGAGCAGAAGTAAATGATCAGTATCTCTGGTAAGCAACTGTCTTTTTTTTAACCTTTCAATGTCATCGTGAGGTTTGCCACATGCCTTGAGAAATAAAGCCTAATCTGAAGGCTCAAATGTGAAAGTCTGGCTGGCTCAGGCAATTGGAAGAAGATACCCATGCACGGTAACCTCTGAATGACAAGTTAGGTTTCCTGAAGAGAAAGACCTATCTCTTCACCTTATGTACTTAATTGCCTCCTTTTTTAAGGCAAAAAAACAGCTCCTAAAGATGTCTCTGTCATAGCCCCAGAATCTGAGTATGTTACACCTTATATGGCAAAGGGTAATTAAGGATGCAGATGGAGTTAAGGTAGCTAATCAGCTGACCTTAAGATAATTATCGAGGTGGGCCCAATGCAATCACAGGGTCCTTAAATGCAGAAGAAGGAAGCAGAAGAATCACTATCTAAAAAGTGTCAAAGACTGGCTTAAAGACATAAGAAGCCATGAGTGAAGAAATGTGGACAGGCTCTAGAAGCTGCAAGAGTCAAGAAAACAGATTCTAAGAGCCTCCTGAAGACAACACAGTCCTGCTGACACTGGATTAGCCCAGTGAGACTCTGCATTGATTCCCTATTGCTGCTATAATAAATTGTCATTAATAATTACATATACTTAGTGGCTTCAAACAACAGAGAACTCTTCTCTCACAGTTCCAGACTCCAGAAGTCTGAAATCGGTATCACTGGGTAGAAGTGAAGGGATAGGCAGGACAGGGCCGTGCTGCCTCCAGAGGCTCTAGGGACAGTCAGTTCCTTGCCTCTTCCAGCTTCTGGTGGCTGCATGTATTTTTTGGCTTGTGGACACAGCATGGCGATTCCTCCTTCTGTGGTCACACTGCCTTCTCTTCTGAGTAATCCTCCTCTGCATCTCTGTGAGAACATCTGAGGTGGCATTTAGGGCCTATCTTGACAATCCAAGATAATTGCCCTATCTCAAGATGCTGAATCACATCTGCAAAGACCCTTTTTCCACATAAGGCTACATCCACATGTTCCGTGAGTTAGAGCCTAACACCTGGAAGTTGTTAGCCTACTACAGAGCCGGTTCAGATTGCTGACCTCCACAACCATGAAATGAACGTGTTGTTTTATGCCACTAAGTGTAATAATTTGTTATAGCAGCAATAGGTAATGAATACAGCTCCTGTCTCCCAAATGTGTGCTACAGATCAGGAGAAGTTCTGCGCAAGAGGACAGAACTAGCTCACCCCTACTATTCACATCAGCATCCTGGGGATCCTTCGTATTCAGACATGCTGCTCCTTCTCCCATTAGCATACTTGACATGATAGAATGCTGAGACTCAGCAGGAAGTGGCCATTAGAAGCTTCAGAAATCACTTCGCTTTCCTCTGGCTGATCACAGGTTTCTTAAGTAAACTGTATAGTAATTCAAAGCAAAGCTTAGGGGAAAAAAGGAACTGACATTCATTTCAGAGAATTCCTCTCAATAATGAGTACACTCCATCCACAAATGTCAAAGAGCTTTGCTCACAAAGCCAATAATCTCTATCACAAATATAAGGCAATGTAAACATTTAAGAACCATATTCCTCAATTAGGAATAGCCTTTTTGGGTAGCTTTCCTAGCATTCCAGTGGCCGAACATACACTTTTAAGCACCTATTAATCACTGTTCTATCTCTTGGCATGCTGTAATGATGGTTTTCTAACATCTCTGCAGGGATTTCTATTTATAGAACTGTTCCTTCTCATTGATCTGCCTTCAGGACACTGCAGCAATTCCCCAGCTGACTTCTCTCCCAGAACTCACCTTGTTGGGACACCCCTGGGCTCTTTCCTCAAATCTCGTCTCTATCTGTATTCT